AAAAAAAAAAAAAAAAAAAAAAAAAAAAAAAAAAAAAAAAAAAAGAACACGGACTACAAAAAGAAAAACAAGCAAGAAAATGATTATGAAGAAGAACAAGCAACAAGGAAATCAAGAAGCAACAAGAAAAGGAAGTAGAAGAACAAGAAGCAACAAGACGTCCAAGAAAAAGAAGAAGAAGAAAAAGAAAAAGAAAAAGAAAGGGAAGGAGAAGAAGAAAAAGAAGAAGAAGCGCGGAAGAGGAAAGATAACTTCTTCTTCGTGAATTTCGACGGTTGAAAGCGTAAAGAGACGCACAAAAGAAAAAGAAAAAGAAAAAAATTAAAAAAATAAACATATGGAAACACTATTCAGCGCAGACAGCACACAGCAAGCACACGCGAACTATGACGAAGAGTCATGCCGCACAACCACATCACCACAACGTCAAACAAACACACCTTCGCTGACGTGAACGGCCAGGAAGTACGCACACAACTCACAACGCGCGAGCGCGTGCGGACAGCGCAGGTGCGAACGGCGACGTAGGAGACGGACGATCACACAACAACACTCGCTCAAGCAGGAACACCCAACTCGCTACCGCAAGCAAACGCGCAGGCCTATCTCACGTCGCCATTGGTGCGGCTGGAGCTATCGTGCATGTACAACGCAGGTGGACACGAACACGCAGCAATATTCAAACGTAGCCACGGACGAACGCAGTGAGGGCTCCCGCGACACCTATATGGGGTCTTACGCATGCAAGAGCGGCTTCGCCATCGCCGGCAGCGATGCAGGTGTCACGCCCTCGCGGGTTGGGTAAGACGCCGGAGGGGACGCACTGAACAAGGAATTCGTGGCGATGGCGGACTGCGTCCACAACCGATGCAGCCGGGGACGAGGAACGAACCCCTACGCTTTCGGATCCGACAACTGCGAGACCGGTTGTTTCCACTTGCGTATAAAAGAAAAGAAAAAAAAAAAACACGCACAACTTCAAAACACAACACAACCAATACACACGAGGTGAAAAGAGGCGCGGCCGCCAAAAATTGGATTTTTTTTTTTCGACCTGTTTTAAGTTCCCGCCAAACGCACTAAAAACCGTTCGGACGCTGCCGGCCGCCCCAACAGTGGACCGCCCGGACCGTTGCCACGGCTGTTGGTGCATTCGGCGCTCGTCCAACGTCTCAACCCCAACCCTCGCGAAAATTCGTTGGGACTTTGGTAACCCCACCGCAACGGCCAGTGACCAACCGAAAAACCCGCTCCTAACTCACAGGGACTGGGGGGTTTCGGCGGCGGGCGGACTGGTGGTTTAACAGTGCGTTAAAGTACCAAGCAACATGCTTGGTAAGGAAAAATTCAAGCATGTTAAGAAAGAGGGAATGCAATCCGCATTAATTGCACCAGTATGAACATCCAAATGCTGTAGCGATTTGTTGTCATCCACATTGTTTGTGGACCGTCATCGCTTCAGATCACTTTAAGGTTTGGTTACGGTTAATGTTAAACCACCCCTTTACTCGCCTTTAGAATTTTGAGGGACTGGTAGGCCGTTTTCTTGAATAGGCAGTTGACCCTGGTCTTAGAGTGGCAAAAGAGGAAATATGAGGAGTTGGCGCGGCAACACTAATTGTCGAAAAAATGCCCTTCAATGATTGGTCTAAAGTTGATCCTACAATTCCATTGCGATCCCTTGCAAAATTTTCAGATCCTTTTCCCCCATCTATATGGTCCAGTATGTAGTATGTGTAGTTCTCAGGTCATGGTATGGGTATGAATGAATCTCTATCGGGCGTAGTCTGGCTAAGGTTCTGGAGGGAGA